GCAACAGTATGTGGGGCCCATGTGGTTCTAGTATCATGGGCCTAACATGGGAAGCCCATGTGGGCTGACCACATTGAACCCACATGACATCAGCATGGGCTGACCATATATGGGTTAGACCTGGGTGTGGATATGTGGGCCCCAGTCCTTTTTTAAGTGGGCTATCTGGGAATGGGATAGTACTGGGCAACAGTATATGGGCCCATGTGGTTTCAGTATCATGGGCCCAACATGGGAAGCCCATGTGGGCTGACCACATTGAACCCACATGACATCAGCATGGGCTGACCATATATGGGTTAGACCTGGGTGTGGATATGTGGGCCCCAGTCCTTTTTTAAGTGGGCTATCTGGGAATGGGATAGTACTGGGCAACAGTATGTGGGGCCCATGTGGTTCTAGTATCATGGGCCCAACATGGGAAGCCCATGTGGGCTGACCACATTGAACCCACATGACATCAGCATGGGCTGACCATATATGGGTTAGACCTGGGTGTGGATATGTAGGCCCCAGTCCTTTTTTAAGTGGGCTATCTGGGAATGGGATAGTACTGGGCAACAGTATATGGGGCCCATGTGGTTTCAGTATCATGGGCCCAACATGGGAAGCCCATGTGGGCTGACCACATTGAACCCACATGACATCAGCATGGGCTGACCATATATGGGTTGACCTGGGTGTGGATATGTGGGCCCCAGTCCTTTTTTAAGTGGGCTATCTGGGAATGGGATAGTACTGGGCAACACTATATGGGGCCCATGTGGTTTCAGTATCATGGGCCCAACATGGGAAGCCCATGTGGGCAGACCACATTGAACCCACATGACATCAGCATGGGCTGACCATATATGGGTTAGACCTGGGTGTGGATATGTGGGCCCCAGTCCATTTTAAGTGGGCTATCTGGGAATGGGATAGTACTGGGCAACGGTATGTGGGGCCCATGTGGTTCTAGTATCATGGGCCCAACATGGGAAGCCCATGTGGGCTGACCACATTGAACCCACATGACATCAACATGGGCTGACCATATATGGGTTAGACCTGGGTGTGGATATGTGGGCCCCAGTCCTTTTTTAAGTGGGCTATCTGGGAATGGGATAGTACTGGGCAACAGTATATGGGGCCCATGTGGTTTCAGTATCATGGCCCAACATGGGAAGCCCATGTGGGCAGACGACATTGAACCCACATGACATCAGCATGGGCTGACCATATATGGGTTAGACCTGGGTGTGGATATGTAGGCCCCAGTCCTTTTTTAAGTGGGCTATCTGGGAATGGGATAGTACTGGGCAACAGTATATGGGGCCCATGTGGTTTCAGTATCATGTGCCCAACATGGGAAGCCCATGTGGGCAGACCACATTGAACCCACATGACATCAGCATGCGCTGACCATATATGGGTTAGACCTGGGTGTGGATATGTGGGCCCCAGTCCTTTTTTAAGTGGGCTATCTGGGAATGGGATAGTACTGGGCAACAGTATATGGGGCCCATGTGGTTTCAGTATCATGTGCCCAACATGGGAAGCCCATGTGGGCAGACCACATTGAACCCACATGACATCAGCATGCGCTGACCATATATGGGTTAGACCTGGGTGTGGATATGTAGGCCCCAGTCCTTTTTTAAGTGGGCTATCTGGGAATGGGATAGTACTGGGCAACAGTATATGGGGCCCATGTGGTTTCAGTATCATGTGCCCAACATGGGAAGCCCATGTGGGCAGACCACATTGAACCCACATGACATCAGCATGCGCTGACCATATATGGGTTAGACCTGGGTGTGGATATGTGGGCCCCAGTCCTTTTTAAGTGGGCTATCTGGGAATGGGATAGTACTGGGCAACAGTATATGGGGCCCATGTGGTTTCAGTATCATGTGCCCAACATGGGAAGCCCATGTGGGCAGACCACATTGAACCCACATGACATCAGCATGCGCTGACCATATATGGGTTAGACCTGGGTGTGGATATGTGGGCCCCAGTCCTTTTTAAGTGGGCTATCTGGGAATGGGATAGTACTGGGCAACAGTATGTGGGGCCCATGTGGTTTCAGTATCATGGGCCCAACATGGGAAGCCCATGTGGGCAGACCACATTGAACCCACATGACATCAGCATGGGCTGACCATATATGGGTTAGACCTGGGTGTGGATATGTAGGCCCCAGTCCTTTTTTAAGTGGGCTAACTGGGAATGGGATAGAACTGGGCAAACTATGTGGGGCCCATGTGGTTTCAGTATCATGGGCCCAACATGGGGAGACCATGTGGGCTGACCACACTGAACCCACATGACATCAGCATGGGCTGACCATATATGGGTTAGACCTGGGTGTGGATATGTAGGCCCCAGTCCTTTTTTAAGGGGTGCTGTCTGGGAATGGGATAGTACTGGGCAACAGTATATGGGGCCCATGTGGTTTCAGTATCATGGGCCCAACATGGGAAGCCCATGTGGGCAGACCACATTGAACCCACATGACATCAGCATGCGCTGACCATATATGGGTTAGACCTGGGTGTGGATATGTGGGCCCCAGTCCTTTTTTAAGTGGGCTATCTGGGAATGGGATAGTACTGGGCAATATATGGGGCCCATGTGGTTTCAGTATCATGGGCCCAACATGGGAAGCCCATGTGGGCAGACCACATTGAACCCACATGACATCAGCATGGGCTGACCATCTATGGGTTAGACCTGGGTGTGGATATGTAGGCCCCAGTCCTTTTTTAAGTGGGCTAACTGGGAATGGGATAGAATTGGGCAAACTATGTGGGGCCCATGTGGTTTCAGTATCATGGGCCCAACATGGGGAGACCATGTGGGCTGACCACACTGAACCCACATGACATCAGCATGGGCTCATGTCATGGGCCCAACATGGGGAGACCATGTGGGCTGACCACACTGAACCCACTGTGGGTTCAGTGTGGTCAGTACATATCCACGCCCAGGTTGGACCTGGGTGTGGATATGTAGACCCCAGTCCTTTTTAAGTGGGCTAAATGAGACAAAATTGTAGAACAATGTACAGGGGTTGGACAATGAAACTGAAACACCTCTCATTTTAGTGTGGGAGGTTTCATGCCTGAATTGGACTAGCCTGGTGGCCAATCTTCATGAATTGCACATTGCAACAGTAAGAGCAGAGTGTGAAGGTCCAATTAGCAGGGTAAGAGCACAGTTTTGCTCAAAATATTGCAATGCACATAACATTATTTGGGACATACTGGAGTTCAAAAGAGGGCAAATTGTTCACCAAGACAGCAAGTCTTTGTGATTATCAAGAGCCACAGTATCCAGGGTAATGTCAGCATACCACCAAGAATGACGAACCACATCTAACAGGATTAACTGTGGATGCAAGATGAAGCTGTCTTAAAGAGATGTTTGGGTGCTAACCTGGATTGTATCCCAAAAACATAAAACCACGGTGCCCAAATCACGGTAGAATTAAATGTGCACCTCAACTCTCCTGTTTCCACCAAAACTGTCCGTCGGGAGCTCCACATGGTCAATATACACAGCCGGGCTGCTATAGCCAAACTTTTGGTCACTCGTATCAATGCCAAACGTCGGTTTCAATGGTGCAAGGAGCGAAAATCTTGTGCTGTGGACAATGTGAAACATGTATTGTTCTCTGATGAGTCTACCTTTACTGTTTTCCCCACATCCGGGAGAGTTACGGTGTGGAGAAGCCCCAAAGATGCATTCCAGCCAGAGTGTTGTATGCCAGAGTGAAGCATGGGGGTGGATCATTGATGGTGTGGGCTGCCATATCATGGCATTCCCTTGGCCCCATACTTGTCCAAGACGAATTGACGCTGTATTGGCCTCAAAAGGAGGCCCTACACCACGCTAATAAGTTATTGTGGTCTAAAACCAGGTGTTTCAGTTTCATTGTCCAACCCCTGTAGTTAACCTGTCACTTTCAAAATTTTGACTGTATGTCAAAGCAAAAGCTGCAAGAGCAAGATTCTCAAAACTTGGAAAGAATTACCCGAGATGTCAGCTTTATAGTCTTTGCCAAGGCAATTGTTACTCAGCTGGCCTCTAATGGAGTTGATGTAAGGTAAATTGTAGAATTTAATTTTTTCCTTGTAGGAAACCTCGACGATAGTAAAGGTTGGTGACCTTGACCATTGTCGAGGTCTCCAGGACGAAGGTGACCTCGTCTTGGAGATCACCCAAGGATATATTTTGCTGATAGAACAGAACATCCATGTCTTCCTAATGTTTGAACCTAAAACATGTTCACTGTGTGATATCTATGCCTGGCTCATTTACAAACACTGGGCTTCCAGAGGACCAGGATATTAAAACATTTAAAAATTCTACAATGCTTTATTTTTTTATACCAGTTCAGTATTGCTCTAGCCACACTTTCAACCATTAACATTTTTCATTGTATTATTTTATGCTAGAACAGTCCAGTCCAGTCTCCAAGCCAGCACGCATGAATGGGCCCCACTTGGGCATGGTTTTTATCTGGGCAAACCTTATGGGACACATATGGTTAACCTAAAATGGTACCCCTATGGGCTGGCCCATTTGGGCTAAATGTATGGGCCCTATTCAGCAACAATGTGGGCTAACTGGAAATGGGACAGAAATGGGGAACACTGTGTGGGGCCCATGTGGTTTCAGTATCACGGGCCCCACATGAGAAGCCCAATGTGTGCTGACCACATTGAACCCACATGACATGAGCATGGGCTGACCATACATGGGTTGGACCTGAGCAGGAAAATGTAGCCCTAGTACTTTTTTTCATGGTCTAAATGGGACACAATTGTACAACATTTTAATAGACAATGTGGTTACTCTGTCACTTTCAAACTTTTCACTGTATGTCAAAGCAAAAGCCAGTTCAGAATTGTTACACTTTGAACCCCTAACTTTTTTTTCATTTTATTATTGCAGTCTGAATGTCTTAAAACATTTTTTTGAAATAATCTGTTTGAAATATACGTAAACTCATATTCTGGTGCTTACTCAAAATTAAGCACAGAGTGGTCATGGTTGAGCTTTAGTCCTTGTTTTATTTTTAATAATAATAACTTTTTATTTTATTTTTATTATTATTTTTTATCAATTGGATGTTTAGACATCCATAGAGTTTACTGCAGCCTGTTCGCAGCAAGATTTAAATTTTTATTTGGACAAGACCATTGTGAAAAATATCACAAAATGTTTAGAAAATAAACAAAACTCATTAGCAAGTGAGAGACAAGAGTAAAATTTTGAGCATCTGTTTTTTCATATATTTGCAAACATTTTCCAAGTCATCAGTATAAATAAAAATAAAAAATAAAAAAACGTAACATTTCTGTTAATGATTCATTTGGTTCCAATTACCTTTTTGTTCATTGTTTGCTCTGAGGCACCGTTGCCAATAAAGGTTGGTGAATTGAAGTACCGGTAGGCACTTTACACATCCACTGAAGAAAATAGTTCCAAAACATATTTGAATAAGGAGGACAACGAAATGTATTTATTTACATTGAGAACTTTTGCTACATCGGTTTTACATTTGTTAAACCGATGTAGCACTCTCAAAAATTAATCTTGTGTTTCTTGGAAAACGTAAAATGACCCGCGGATGGATATGCGGTTTCAAAATCAAGCCTGTTCTCTTCATCAGTCCGTTGGCGCGGAGTCTGCCTGTTGGCTGATCTACGAAAGAATCTGTAAGTACATTTCTTCTGTTTTACCTAGTACCAAATTTTAGGGAGAGATTTTAAATCGCTTGTTAAAAAAATTGTTGCTCGTAACAAATCGGACGACAGTATCCCAAAAGAGACTTAATTGTTATTGTTATTTTTGCTTTTCTTTAGGGTGATACTTTTTCTGATATTGCTAACACACACAGCTACACACAATAAGCAGATTTTAGTGCAGACCGATTTCAAACGCAGCGTTGTGGGCCAAACCATTTTCAAATACCGCCGCCATTCTATTTGTTGAGCTGCCATTGGTTCATTTGAGCGCCAACGAGGCAGAATGAAATCGGTTCACTGAAGAATCTATGTTGCTAGCAGAGGTTGTTACAAAGTGTCTGGACACAATAAAACCATTTGTATGATTTAAAAAGAGTAACTATTGTGCTTTCATTCTATGTACTTGGGCTTTTAATAATCTTTCTCACAGTCACATCAGCATGCATGGGTGGGTCTCATGTATGGATTCAGGCTGGTTTGGCTGGGACCCATGCAAGATTATTATTGTCGTTTTTTTCAATAAAACTGCATTGAATCGTTTAGCTTTGGCCTATATAGGTAATGATAAGAGGGCATGGGTTTTATCTGGGCCAACTGCGTGAGGCTCCTAAGGTTAACCGAAATGGGACTCATATTGTTGGCTCAATTGGGTTAAATGTATGGGCCCAATTCAGCATTAACGTGGGCTAACCGGGCATGGGACAGAAATGGGAACACTATATGGGGCCCATGTGGTTTCAGTATATTGGGCCTAAAAGGTTTTTGTAAATAGGATGAAGGCATTGTAGTTCATATTTTTAAATTCTTTTTTTAATTGTTGTGTGACACTTTAAAGCGTTTTGTTATGTCAGAGTTTATTTCAATCTGCCGCTATTGTGTTGGTCTAGAGTAGTCATCAGTGTCAGGGTTCCTGTGTGAGAGTGTGTGTATGTGAGTGTCGCATCTTATTTCAGCGAGGATCTTTGTGAGGAGCCCGTGGAGCTTGGCACAGGTGGAGGAGCAGCAGAATCTTCAGTCTACGCTAGATTGACTGAAGATTCTACTGGTGTATGCTAGATGGTTGCATACACCGGTAGTCACTCTGGCCTCTCCTGTTGTGAACAGTTTTCTGAGAACGTTTCTGTGTCTACTAGAAGTCACCTGGTCTCTGTGTTTGTTCGATCCTAGGGGTTTTGTCGCCTCATTCGAGAACTCACCAGTGAATACCTGCCTGCTCGCTCCGCCGATTCCACTGCCTCCACTCCACCCTTCGAGCTTCCAGCTCTCTTCCATTCCCACCTCGCATTTACCTTCGGAACCGCTGCACACCCTCTCTCAGGAACCTGGCATCTCACACCCACGCCTCGAAAGACCCGCACCGAAGTAAGCCTGTTCCTGTTTCCCCTCCGATCACTCATTCTAAGCCCGTCATAACTAAGTTCTCGTTTCAGGCCAACCTGGTCGAGTGGTCCTCACCCTTCCGCTGATGTCCGGGAAATAGATTTTATTTTGTCCTGTTGTAAATAAATCACTCACTCATCCCTATCCAACGTGTGGTTACTGCATGTGGGTCCGTAAATTGAAACCCATCATGTCAATCAGTGGCCAAGCCTGAAACAAATATTGAAAGATGAAGAAATTCTTTTTGATATTTTTGCAATATTTAGCTAGCAGTTATGTGAAATGTACTTATATTTAATTGTAGCTCTAATTTTTTTATATGTGCAATGTTTTAGGCTTTATTAGTTACATTTATAGTGATTTTCTAAACTTCTCTTAAGAGTAATACTACTGTCTTAGTCCTGTCACGTTAACAAAGAAATTAGGATAATTGCAAAACTGTTCAGTGTTTACAATATAAGGCTTCAGTAGTTAATCTATACAAAGGCTGTTTTGCCTTAATTTTTTTATTTTTTTGAAAAGTCTAAATGTTATATTGCACTAATAAAATATATATTTTTGCAGGCTTCAAGAGGATCAGCGTGTGAAGATCACTTTATAATGATTTGAAAAAGGTAGATTAATATGTTAGTAAAATTAAGCACATAAGAGTGATATAATGACAAACTGATGAACAAAAACAAAATGTTGTCCTGTTATTGTCATTGTACTTAAGGTTGCCATGGCTACAGAAATTGGAGGAGCATCCTTAGATGACACAATACAACCAGCTGTGCGATTCCTCATGTCCCATGAACTGGAAGTCCAGTTCAACCTTTTTGGCCAACATGGGAAACAAGCTCTTGGACCTGCGAGTCTTTGATGTTTTGTATGGTAAATATCAGTTTTTATTGTCAGAGTAACTTTTTTTTTCACTTTTCTTTCTTAAACATATGTTTATTTTGGTTGTTTTATGCTTTTGTTTGTTATTTTTAGTAATGTTTTTAGGTTAAAAATTGAGTCTTCAATTTTTGGTTTTATTTGAACAGTATTCTTTCACTGTTGTTAAGAACTTAAAAATTTGAAGGTAATATTGTTTGCATTTCAAACAATATTAAAATAACCACAAAACCACGATAGAACCTAGTAGTTGATTTATATAGATGGATATATTTTAAATTTACAGTAAGAATATAGTTTCTGTACATAATAATGATGACTCAAGAGTCCTTTTGATTATGGCATATCTCTGCAAGAATTTTTGCCCCATGAAGGGGGAGATGCAAATCTCATGAATGTTACATTGTGCTAAAATGAAACACTAATACAATTTCTACCTTTGCTTGTTATTTCAGGGGACTTAAAAGAAATTATCCATCTACAGAATCACACAAGCATACAGCAAAGACTCTCGAAGTGGTTTACTGGAGCCCGAGACTGAAGTGGAAATAGACTAGAGAGACTGCCAGTTCAAACTCAGGTTGGGGAGGTCTTTCAAGATGGACAGTTTCAGTAAAGTATGAGAGATTTCAAATTTAAGCATGCATATGGCATGTAGGTTATTTTTAAAAATGTTTAACAAAAATGTATTGTGAAAGATCTATATAGGTGTGTATATTCACATTGTGTGTATCAATGTGAATATACGTGTATAAAGTTATATAGATAGTATTTAGATGTATACATTTATAGACCTGTAGGAAAATATGTAGGTGTCTTTATTTGTGTGCATCTATATATATATATTATAGATCTGTTTATAAGTTTGTTATAGTAAACTAGCTTCTGTTATTTTCAAAGATGTCGTGAATAATTGCAGATTTCTTTTTGTGGCACCATTCCCTGAGTATTAATGAAGTTCTAATAATTGCTGTAGTGAGGTAAAAAATAACTCCTGACAATATTTTAAATTACTGAATAAAAGCCTTGAGCAAAATAAATTTTTCATCTCTTTTTTTTTATTTTTTATTTGAACACGTTTTAAGCTAGACTTTGGGTTGTTGATCAAGATTGCATATCTATGAATGTAATTCACATCAGATGAGAATTGTTCCTACAGGATTAAGGCATCTGGGTCCCGCTGAAAGCCCAGTTAGCACCCATTGAAATCAACCTGGGCAAACCCATGTGGGGCCACCATGGAAACCGTGGACAAACCCACTTGTTACCCATATTCTAACCCAGTTCAGACCCAATTGGGACCCAGGTAAATATTCCTGACAGCACCCTAGTGGGCCACAGATGAGCCTCATGTAAGTTAACCATGTGGGACCCACTGAAAACCCAGTCAGCACCCATTAAAATCTACTTGGGCAAACCCATGTGGGGCCACCATGGAAACCGTGGACAAACCCTTTTGGGACCCATATTGCCTGCCCACTTATATCCCATATGGGGCCCACCTAGGTGTGCTGGCTGGGCACAGCTCACCTGGAAAGAGATGAACAAGTCATTATTGATAATTATATATGGCAGATGAAATGCAGCAATACTGTGAAAAGTTTATTACTAAATAACTAAAAACTCTCCAGAGTTTCTCCTCCTGCATCTTATGAATCGTAGCTTCAGAACCTTGAGCTGCTTTTAGCCTCTATTTAGCTCAGAGTTTTGAGCCGAGGCTCCAGAAATCAGGTCATTGTCGTGTTACTTCATGTCTCTGTTAGGAAGGACTCAGTTTTTCTAAAACTTGTTGAATTCCAGCGTGTAAATGAGTCTTTGTCTGTGAAATGTTTGCTACCTTCAGGGTGAGTCCTTTGCAGCAGCCATCTTGGGATTCTGCTAAAGAAGAGGCCCGCCTCAAACACAGCTCTTTAATAGAACTGGCTGCACTTTGATTGGCCGGGCAAATTGAGAGGCGGGGCTTCACTGGTTAATTGATGAACTGCTGGATGTAAGGGCGGCCATTTTGAAAGCTGCTTTGGTGCAAATGACTCAATAAATAAACTTTGTTGGCAGAACAGCAAAAGTTTGACTGGATTCTTCTTTCCACACCTTTTAGTATAAAAGTCACATTCTTTAACAAATTATCATAAACTCTTGTCTCATAATTCAAACTGTTGACCTTTGTTATTCCAACTGTAATTTTCTGTTTTCTCTCCAGAGAATCTCTAAAAGTTGAGACTTTAGAGAGAATCTAAAATCTCTCTAATTTATATTAGAGAGATTTAATCTTTAATTTTTAGATTAAATCTAAAAAACATCGACATGACGGCACCAGGTCCAGTTCTGGTTCTGCCCTCTGACCTCTTGGCCTCAACCGGCCTGCACAGGTAGAGATAGGCCAGGTTCTGGAGCCACAGTGATGCTGATCGGTGATACGAACTGGATTCTGATCCGAATCCTGAGACGGATTCAAGCTGCAGCTTCAACATCAGAACCAGATGAAGTTTCTTCTTCACTAAAGAACATTTCAGTTTGAGTCTCTGAATGAAGGAACTGATTTCATGAACGCAAGAGAGTCAGAGGAAACCGGGTCAGAGAGAACCGGGTCAGAGAGGGAACCGGGTCAGAGAGAGAACCGGGTCAGAGAGAGAACCGGGTCAGAGATGGAACCGGGTCAGAGAGGGAACCGGGTCAGAGAGGGAACCGGGTCAGAGATGGAACCGGGTCAGAGAGAGAACCGGGAGAGATGGAACCGGGTCAGAGAGGGAACCGGGTCAGAGATGGGGCTGCTATTAATGTTATTAAAATACTTTTATGAATTGATAATCATTTCAGTTTGAGATGAGTAAAATTTAATTTGCTGCTTTTGAATAACAGTTTATTGTTTCAGAGAGAAAAACAACAGAAGTAAAATGTCTTATTTCAAATGAAAGCTAACAAAGGAACTCGTTTCTATGGCTCTTAATGTGAAAGTACTCACCGGAAAGTGAATGTAGTTTGTAAACGCTCTAACTTTATCAAGTAGGTGTAATTATCATCTGGGTCCGCTAGAGGGCAGAAACCGCCCTGCTCTGATATTAATAGTTCAGTTCGCGGCTCTGCAGCTAAAATATCAACATTATTCTGACTGTTTGCAGGATAATTAAACTTTTCATAAATATTTTCCTACCTTCAGACCGGAAGCTCAGCATCTTATCGCCTAAACCAGAGTTTGTTTCAGCTCTGTTTGAGCTGAAGCTCCAGTTTTAAGAACCACAGCTCCTCTGAAGCCGCTGCTAGTCTGTTAGCATCGTTAGCTCCGCTCAGAGTCTCTGCGGGATGTTTTCGTCTCTGTGGAGATGCTTCTAGTTCACACTGACAGATAAAACACTGATTTCCAGAAACCAGCTGCAGCTCTTCAAACTCACCTCTATATTCAGAGCGGGGTATTTACGCCCTCTGGTGGCCTTAGTGGGAACTACAGCCCTGATAATGCTGCATTATTTATGTTTAATATCCATTAATGTGGAGTTTAGAGAAAAACTAAAAGACATCCTGAGTCATTATCACAGATTTCTGTCTAGTTTGTTATTCAGACATATTTTGATTCACTGTTTGGAGTTAACTTTGATCTGACGTTATAAAATTTTACATTAAAACAAACATCCGGTTTAACAATTTATACGAAGAATGTCTGTAGTTATGATAGTTCACCACCAGAGGGCAGTAAGAACTCAATCAACCATCATAAAATTAATACTTTAAACTTTTCACTAATTTCTAATAACAGCTATATTAACTTAATCCTGTGAATAATAATTTATATATTTCATACATGTATGTTATTAGAGATGGAGATTAATTATTAGAATAATTTAGACACAAAGTGAACAACAACTACTTCTAAAGTAATATTTTATTTTACAATAGATGGAAATTTAGTTTGAAAAAATCCTACATTTTATTGTGTAACAATCCCGGAAATATTAACTGTTGCTAATTTTGAGAATGAAAGTGTGAAAAAGCTTCAAATATCAAGAAAAAAACAACCAGCTGACATAAGAACAACTGTTCTTTATTATTTTAAAAACTGTTTAAAATTATAAAATAAAGCTGCTGTATTAAACTCTTTACAAGACGTTTTATTTCTAATCAAACTGAATAAAATCCTGCAGTGACTCTTATTTAATGACAGTAATGTAAGCTGACTTGATCTGACTTTATAACAGTGAAAATTAAAACAAAGAGAAACATCTGGTTGAACAATTTCTATTGATGATGTAAATAATGAATAAATCCAGAACGACGGCAGGATGACCGATGGAGAATGTCCTGATATGTGAGGAAAATTAACTGTTTCATCTCATGAACATATAAACTTTTATCCAAGCATCATCAGAGGTGGAGTCGCTCGTCCCATCTGTATCAGCGCTGAATTTTCCTGCGTACCTGAACACATCTTCAGTAAAACCAGCCTCACTGAAGCCAATAGACCAGAGCTACGTTGCAGGAAAACTCTGAAGCTTCTTGCTGGTTTTGGCCTCTAAACTGAGACGCGCTCTCATAAGGAGTGAAATGTTGCACTAGGTGCAGGAGATGACCTTTAACCCCTGGTCCCAGGTTTTAGGCGGTGTTGAGGTGAAGAGCGAGGCTCCTGATCTGCTGTGAGTGACGTGACGCTCGGTGGAAGTTCTGCATCCTGTTGCAGCTTCATGTTGGAGACGTGAGGTTTTGCTTCTCCTGTCAGGGATTTGATGGGAAACGAGTCACAACATTCAGATGATTTCGTCACTTTGACGATGCAAACTCTGGTTCCTCAGTGTTTGGTCTGTCAGAACGCTGGCTCAGGTTTCTCCTCTAGTTTTTCTTTAAACTTGTTCCACTTTAAATCCACACAAATAAACCACAGAAAGTTATTTTCTCATCTTCTGATGCAAATTTGCATCCATCAACAAAAGCAGGAAAATAAAACTTCTCCTTGAACAACAGCTGTGCAAACTGA